GGCGGGGCCGGCTCCTCTCAGTGTGTGATCTGCCTGGCAGCACCGTGCTCTGTGATCAATGGAGCATTCAGAGCGGCCGTCGGGCACAGCTGGCCGGGCCGAACAGAAACAAGCTGATGATGTTCGGGCCGGCCCGGCCCAGCGGGCAAGTGCCCGGTTTGCCCTATGGCCAGTCCGGCCCTGGGCCTCATGCACACTGGGCGTACACATCCGTATCATGTAATAGGCTGTATTAATTGGTGCTTTTATATCTGCCTGGAGTTCAGCTTTAAGGCCTCATTCACCCTGGGTGTACACGTCCGTGCGGCGTACATGCCCGTAAACAGCTGATCCCAGGAGGGACAGGTGCTGCGTGTGATTGCGCGCAGCAGCCCGTTCTTCCCTATGGGAGAACGCGGCTGTACGGTGTCATCCGTGCGAGTACAGGTGTCCACACCACAGTGTCCACAGGATGGATCCTGTCTGCGTCCAAGTGCAAACACCCAGACCTGCATGGATGTGCAGTTCTGGTGTCCGTATGACACCGTACAGCCATGTCCTCCCATAGGGAAGAACAGGCTGCTGCGCTCAATCACACGCAGCACCTGTCCTTCCCAGGATCGGCTGTGTATGCCCAGTGTGAATGAGACCTTAAAGCTGAACTCCAGGCAGATATAAAGGCACCAATTAATACAGCCTATTACATGATACATAAAATCAATAAACATATGTTTCGAACGGTACTAGTACTTGAATCTGTCTTTATATCAGCCTCTTGTCAAACACAACACTCAAACTGGGAGAGAGTGCAGCACTAGGAGCCAATCAGGTGTACTGAATGCACCTGAGCTGACAGGGAACCTGTTGACAGGAGTTGCAAGTAGAGTGATGACCTCTTCAATCTACTGTTGCTCCTTTACTGTCCTGTCATAGACTTAGTGGCAGAAAGGTGGCCAAGCAGTATTGCTTAACTGTAACAACAAGAAAACCATAACTGTTGTCTTTTTCTCATGTCTAAATGTATGAAGAAAGCATATTTTCTTTTTCAGATGCTGAAACTTCATTTACCAATCAAACACTTAATAGCTCATCAATAGTGCAAAATGGCAACGGCACAGATTACTCACCTTCGGAGGAAGAGGTTGTTCGTAAACCTCGCAGGAGAGCAAAGTGAGTGTATAATCCCTGGTGTAACATCTTGTCCTAATAAAGAAGCGGTTGTCTTTTTTGTGTTACTTGAAACTGCCTGTAAGTTGCCTATGACAGTGAAGTTGAAGTGACACCAAACTCAAGAGTTAAACCTTAAAAATGTATTCAAGTACCGTAACTATTAACAAAAATGTATCTTATTTGTGTATCACTCGGCTGTAGATCCTCAAATCATCTCTGAATTGGTGCTGACACTGTCCTTCCTTCTGGAGGGAGGCTACTTTTGTTCCCCATGGTCCCTGTGTGTGTTGTAAAGGAGCCACCGTTCCATGCTCACTCCTGTGATGGACTACGATCTCATGTTTCGGTTACTCGCTTGTACTGAGATTGTAGTCCATCACGGGAGCATGTGGGAAAATGTCTGTGCCTGGTATTCTGAATGGGTCATTTAAATTTGCACACAGTAGTAATGGCTAAAAACTGGCCATTCATGGGAATGCAGCTTTGTGTTTTATTGCACTTACACAACCACTGTCTGTTTGTTCTGAACTGATAAGTGCTGTTTTTAAACAAAAGCATTGACAATTTGTTAGAAGAGCAGAGAAAGAAATGACTGTTTTGTCTGTTTTGTTTGACAAAAGCTATGGGCCACAGAATCCAATCCACAGATAATGTTGCTAAATAATATTTTCCCTTCTTTTTCTGTATTAGGAAAACCCGACCTGCAGAACACGGATTCCCCAATGATATGGGCATAGAAGATGAAGATATCATTACTGATGGGCCAATAAAAATACTAGAACACCATCCTGCATTCATTGTACCCTCCCTGACAAGCCAACCGGTGGCCAAACTTTTTGTGGAAAAAAATAGTAAGTAACAAAGCCAGAACAAAGTTGTTAGCACTTTAGCCTTACAGGTCTCGCTCCTGAGATCAGTTCCCCCCAGAGACACTATCTGCATGGGGTTTGTCTGCGGTTGCTCTGAATGCTGTCATTTTCTCCCTCAGATAACTTTAGTAATGGTATAATTAGTGTCCATTTAAATGTCTTCAGTAACTGTCCACCCTGTATGGGTGACATTAGAGTGTAAGCTCTTTTAGAGGCAAGAACTGGTGTGAATTGTTCTAAGAACTCTACATCACACTGCAGAATTTGTTGGCACTTCGTGAGTAAATCAAATACGTATACATCCATAGCGCTAGTGGCTGCTACCGTAGTTCTTTCAGTATAAGTCTGCAACCTCTGAGACCTTACCAACATTACAATGTAGATATGTGTATTTCATCAGTAATTTGAATGTCTTTACTTTACTCAAGTATGTTCTACAGACATTCTGCAATTGGCTAGGTCCAACATATATATACATGACAATGTAAACTCCTACTGCAATAGTTTAAAGGGATATTGCAAGCCAAAATTAGGTTTAATGTCCATGGAAAGAAATTATACCGCAGTGTGAGTATGTCAGAGGTGGGATAAAGTCACAAGAATATGAAAACTATCAATAGTTGTGTTATCCTCTGTATTTATAGTATAAACCCAAGGAAGAGAATGATGCTGCACACCGACATATCTGTGCATATCAGTTTATTGTGAGGCTGGGATCCAGCTTTGCTTAGTGGGTCACTCTCATGCATTTGTCCACAGCTTTTACACAGAAAAACATGGTATGAACCTTTATGGGAAATGCCCCTTGTGTTCACTTTAAAAAATCAACTGTGAATTTTATGTAATAAATCATTACTTGAGATATTTTGACTGTCTACCTAGAGTCGACTGGTAGATCGCGATCGACCTTGTGGGCACCCCTGACCTAGAGCAATAATAACGTAAATAAGGCAGAACAAAATACATATTACATCATTGGATTTTATTTTTTTTCCAGGTTCACATTTGCTTAGGTATGAGCTGTTGGCAGTGGTTGTAGTTATAACTACATTTAAAATGCAACGAAAAAACCAATACCGGCGCCTCTGGTTGCAAGATGGGCTGGTTGTGAAGTTGGCTTAAACACTCAAAAGGCAGCTCTCACTGGTCAAAAAGACCATCGATCGTTCGCTCTGTCTTGTCCCTTGTTTCCTACATTTAAAATGAATACATAGTTAAAATGTAATCGTGTATTGCAATTATAAACATACCAGGAAAAGACACACAGCACAGTGGAAATATTCAGATTTGGTCCTGCGGCTGATATGTGTTTGGCTCCCAATATGTTTTCTGTATGCAGAGAGGTGTAATCACTAGAGCTCTATAATAAATATACACTGAGTGGCCAGATTATTATGACCACCTGATGTTTGTAGGCAAATTAGCTATAATTTTGCGCTGAAGTTGCTAGAGGGCCAGACCATTATAAATAGGGAAGCAGGTTGTTTACCACGACAGTAGAAGTGATTTTGTTATGAATATATGGGTAAACAACGCGATTTAACAGCCTTTAAACATGGGATGATTGTTGGTGCTCAGAGCCATGGCGCGAGTATCATCAAAATAGCAGCATTTGTTAAATGTTCAAGAGCGGCTGTTGTTAAAGTGTTTAAAGACTGGACTGTCAGCCGAAAATCTGAGTCTGAATGTGCGAATTGTGGCCGTCAGCGACTAGTCAATGTTAGGGCAGAACGGAGAGTGGCAAGACTGGTACAAGACAACAGAAGGGCAACAGTGCAGTGTCAGATTCCTCGCATCACCTTTCGACATCTCATGGAGTCACGAGGCGGCCCAACGAAGTCATCTCGTGGAGTTATCTCGTGGCCCAATGAAGTACTGATGTGGTGGTCATAATAATCTGGCCACTCAGTGTATTTGTATGCTGACAATACACTGAATTCCTGTTACACCATTCAAATACAATTGATTCCCAGTCAACTGTTTTTTTTATTTTTTTTACTCCAGGAAAATTTCAAGCTGCTGACCGAACTGGTATTGTCAAAACCACGGAACAGGTTGACGATTTTTTGGATGTTAAGCCAGATTGGACCAGCATGGACGTTTCTCTTACTGTACATCGTGCCTTCAGGTATTTAAAAACCATTGCAATTTACTACTATTCTGGCAATGGGAGAAAATGTAATCTGCAGATCAGTTGTATCTGACAGTTTCTGTGCATATCCCTGTCCCCTTCATTATATCATGGTCATTGATAGAACAGCTTACACAGAGCAATGCATCAAAACCATTGAAGTTTATAATGTTTTCCTGGGTCAGACCTACTCAGCTTTGCCATATTGAGAAGTAAAAAAAGGCTGCAGAAAGAAACAGAAATTAAAGCGGAACTCAAGACGGTGGACCCCCACCTTGCAAGGGTTAATGGCTCATTTTGTTGAGGGACAAGGTATAAGGTAAAATACTTATCTTATTTCTTGCTTAGCAGCCTCCTCCCTGATATATGACCGTGTTTTAGAGAGCCAATTCTCTTTGCTGCTTGACTGGTCACGGTCACTCTGACATCATCAGGAACATGGAGGGCCCATCCACAAACTGGTATACTGGGAGCGCCGGAGAGCAGAGGAAGGTGCCAGCTGCTGGGGAAGTGAGAATTAGGCTAAGTATTTATTGCTGCTTATTCCATACCCCCTAATCAAAACAAGTGATTGACCCTTGCAGTGGAGAAGTAGAGGGGGAATTGCCCTGTTAACTTTTACAGATGACTTGAGTTCAGCTTTAAACATTTTTCACATTGGTAATGGCAAGAAGGCTGACCATACCCATGACCAGCTGATTGTACAGTCTTTTTGTCAGATCTATTAAAAATATGTATCAAAAGAGCTTGCTTGCCTGTTAAATAGTTTTGGTGAATCTAAAGAGGACTGTACTGATTGTACAGTCACATTGCAGTATGTATGGGCATCTTAATAGCCATCATGATATTTTGTGGCCATTTTCAAAATAAAAATTCCTTACTGGTGTGTGTTTTTAGTTGCAAGATTATGTAATGCAATATCATTTCTTTGGCTGAAGTAGAAATGTACATTAAAATGATTTTGTTTTCTCATTGCAGGATGATTGGACTTTTCTGCAGTGGATTCCTTGCTGGTTACACAGTATGGAATATTGTAGTCATTTATGTACTTGCTGGTAGCCAGCTAACTACTCTTCCCAAGCTTCTGGAAATCTATAAAGACTTGGCATATCCATCCCAGAGCTTCCTGTATTTTCTGTTGGCCCTCAGCACAGTTTCTGCCTTTGACAGGTAATTTATCAATTGTTCCTTTTTGCCACAAACCATATAGCAAAATCTGCAGCACTTTCACCATCATATCCCCCTATACATGTTAAACACTAAAATGCACATATACCCTTTAAATTATTTAAGTGGCAATAAAAAAACCTCCTCTTATAAGATGCCTCTCCTGTTTACCTGATCGTGTGATATTCTATGATCAGCCAAATTCATCTCCTCACAATCACATAATATGTCCAATCATTTTCTGAGGTGTACCCCACAAAAAGCTGAACCCTCATTGCATTCTTAGAGTTTTGCATTACAAGGATTTGATTATGAGCTACACTACTAGTTGTTATGTTTGTTACTTAGTTCTGGAATGTGTGTGTGCGCATGTATATAAATAGATAGATAGATATGCACAATTTTGTTTATTTATTGATATTTTTACCAGGATTGATCTGGCCAGTATATTAAATGCATTCCATGGTCTTGTTGCATTGGATCCTTCCGCTGTGGCATCATTCTGTAAGTAGATATGTCTGGATAATGTTAGCTAGTCTTTATTTTTATTTTATTTGGGACTTATCGAAGTCTGTTTGCCATATTTTATTTTGTGTAAGGGGTATTGTGTGTAATAGCTATAGCAATAACCATCTGCTGTTAGACTGGGTATTGTAAATGCTATAGAATATATCCTTTCAAATAACTAATAATGAAGACATAAAACAACACCGAACGCATGTCCTGGTGCAGTAATCCTTTTTATTGGTAAAAATAGGTGTACAATAAAATATACTCACAAAAGAAGCATAGGTAAAAGCATCAATGGACTGATAGTCCTCAATAATTTGTCTGCTGTGGAGATGAATTGAAATCAATGTTATTGTATATCTATTGTATATGCTCTTGTATACTTATTGTACACCTATTTTGACCAATAAAAAGGATTATTGCACCAGGACAGGCGCCCGGTGTTTTATGTTTTCATGCAGTGTTCAGGATCCCTCATCTGTAACGGGGCAGCCATCCTGGATTTTAAGGAGGGTTCCTTTTGGCGCTGGTCGGTGCTGTTTTTTGGAACTAATAATGAAGGCTTACTATCATAATAAATATGTTTGATTTTATTTTGCATTTTAAAAACTTCCTTATGCATTTAGCTGATAGTTAATAATTCAGTGTTAAAGCGGGCCTCCTCACAGGATGTCCCAAATAAAGTAAAGTCACCCTCCAAAACCTTTACAAAGGATGAAACTAAAAAGCATAGTTACGATTTCTATAAACTGTTTCTGTTTTTATCTTCTCCCCCTCTCTGTTGCCGGCAGCCATTTTTGGAAAGGGCCGATAATGCTATCTGCCTTCCCTTTCTGGATATCGCACTCGTCTTCCCCCCCAGATCCCATGCATGCACACTACAGCATAATCCAGAAACCCCTTACTGTTTACAAATTGCCATGGTACGGCGGCCACCCTCCCAATGAAGCATATGAATATCCAGTGCATGCGCAGTACTTAACTGTGTGGATGGGGTAATCTCCACCTGGGCCAAGCTTCCGTAATCTTGCTAGTCGCCCTTGCTGGCTCTCAAAACACCTGAGCCAGGTATTTTGACAGCCAGTGGGGCCAACTAGCAAGATACTGAAGCTTGGCCCATTGGGAGATTCCTCCATCCACACAGCTTAGCATAGATGGAGGAATCTGTTGCACTTTTTCCATCTGACCAGAGAAAATATGCAGATAATTGTAAGGTCCGGCCGCTCACAGCGCTCTCGTCCTGCAGCGCTCGGCCGGCTGTCACTTTCTTTTCTCCCCGCTGGAACACAGAGCAGCGCCCAGCGGGGAGAAAAGAAAGCAGGGATGCGCGATGTATCGGCCGAAACATGGCTCTTTCAGGCATTATGCCAAAAGTGCCATTTTCGGCCGATATGTTTCGGCGGCCGATATATCGGTGCATCCCTAGTAAGGTGTATGGCCAGCTTAAGAAAACTCTTCCTTCTTCTTCTGTAATCCATTCTTATAGAAGAGTGGTATAGTAAATGGACATTTTATTGGCAGAAAGGTTCAAATGTTTTTAGGGCAGATTTGTTGAACTGAAACAAATTTGTATATGGTCCCCAGCTTTCCGGAAAAAAATCCACAGAATTTGGAAAGCGCGTTGGGAACCACACAGGGTCCCTTCATTAGGCTTTAGCTGTAGCCTGATGAAGGGGCCCTGTGTGGTCCCGAAAGCGCTTGTTCATATGACAAAGAATGTCAATAAATGAAGCTTTTGCTATCCTAAAAGGACTGGTGTGCTGGTGACATTTTTACAATTCTCCTTACCGTCTTGAATTGTATTGTGATTGTAATGTCTTCCTTATATTGTAAAGCACTGCGCAAACTGTTGGCGCTATATAAATCCTGTATAATAATGTAAGCGTGCAATGCAATCGTAATTGGCTGGATAGGGCAATTGTTATCTCAGGCTCTTAGAGTCTAAATGTTATTACAGGCCACACTTCTGATTTGCCTGTTTTGTGTTCTACTAAGATAAGGTTTGTCTTATTAAATGCTATGTTTACTTTCCTGACTATGATTCATGTTACACCCATATTCAGGGTGTAACATGGTCAGATTGCAACATTCATTCTTTCTTCCGTCCATGCTACTGAATGTTTATACCGAGGTATGGAGATGGACGGTAGGAAGAGACTGCAGGAGCCAGAGTATTGTGCCTGCAATCCACTGATCGCAGTGGCAATGCTTTGCTGGCTCCAGAAAATGTTTAAATGCACTTTTTTCTTTTATGAAGAAGTGTGCATCGATTATTTTTTTTCCTAAAAAGTGTAATTTCCCTTTAAAGGCAGTTAGGTGCTTGTATTTCTGTATGACAGTGATGGGAGTCATAATTGTGCAGTCAACATTTCAAATCTGTACCTGACTTTAGTGTTCATTGCTCTTACTATGCCTGGACCAATTGAATATGCCTGCAGATATATTACAGTCAAGAGTAGCTGACAAGTAATTAGTTACAAGATTAAAAACAAAGGTTGCAATTGTATTAAGGGTCGACCGATTATCGGATCTACTGATAATGGGGGACGATATTCACAAAATCTGAAAGTATTGGTGTTAAATTGACCGATATTACCGATACTGACAATGAAGAGGAGCCTCCGCACCCACCCATTCATTCAGTTCTCTCTCAGGCCCGTTCCTCTGCTGATTGACAGGTAGGTGGGTGCAACAGCCAGCCTGCTATTGGCGTTTGTAATTTGAAACGGCCAATAGCAGGCTGGCTATTGTAGCGCACACTGCCTGCTGTTTACATTCAGCCGCCGAGTGCGGAACCTAGCTGCCGGCAGAGGAATGGAGGAGAGGGGTCCGGGCTATGTGTTCATCTGCCAGCACAAGATTCCAAAGCTGGATGTAAACAGAATATCTGTACCTGATATCGTTTATCTGCCTGAAAGGTGGCCCGTTATCGGTATCGGTTCTGAAAAAAACATCAGTTTTCTGCCTGAAAGGTGGCCCGTAATTGGTATCGGTTCTGAAAAAAACATCAGTTTTCTGCCTGAAAGGTGGCCCGTAATTGGTATCGGTTCTGAAAAAAACATCAGTTTTCTGCCTGAAAGGTGGCCCGTAATTGGTATCGGTTCTGAAAAAAACATCAGTTTTCTGCCTGAAAGGTGGCCCATAATCAGTTCTGAAAAAAACAGATCAGTCGATTCATAAATTGTTTTGACTTTCTAGCTGTGTTTACTGTTAAATCAAACGGAATCTTTATGAATTTTGATCTCTAATGATGTCATCTTGTGTTTCAGTGTACTTTGTAGCTCTCTTTTTTGCTCTGAGTCAGCAAATGACAAGTGATCGGATAAACTTCTACACACCTCCAACACAGAATGGTAGCTTGTGGTAAGATTCTGTTATGCAGTCTGCTCATTTAGATTTTTTCTCTCACCAAGATATTGTTATTATGTTTTAATCACAGATTGCAAACCATTCTTACATTTTAAGGGCTCATTTACACCAGTGGTATTGTTATACCATGACCGCTGGTATGCGCTGTGAAGGGAGCAGTGCGTTGTAATGACGCATTACACTGTTTACTTTTTTCAACTTCATTGAAATGTTACAAAATTCCAGTGAGAGCACCACAGCCCTTGCAATGCGGTGTAGTGCGTTGCAACGCGATATGCTGAAAAAAGTATAGTGTGTCCTACTTTTTCTGGCACACACCACTGCAGCAAAGTGGTTTGAACTGAACCTATGGGGGTGCTCTGCAGCAACACTGTAGCCCCATTTACCACCATGTTAAATAGGATCTTAGAACAGTAATAGACATAAAGAGTTCTTCTGACAATTTCCAGCAGGAAATATTTGCTTGCATTTTTGTACATCTGTGATCATCCTAAGCTTGCATCTTTTGCGTCACTTGCTTATATTGGACCATGTATTGCTTCCCCTTGGAATAACAGCAAAAGAATACATTCCAGTGATCCTGGCCAAAGCCATGAGGTTTTCCATGTACACTGTGCTCAGGTTTGAATACCTTGTGTGTTTAAGCATGATCCATCCAGTCCTAATAACAGAAGGCTACAGGCTAGGTTAATGACACTGATGCTGAAAGTGATCACCTATACTGCTCTGTTACCTGCATGTGGCCAAATATCAATCAAGTTGGTTGCATCTGTGTGCAAGGTTTTAATATCCCTCTATCATCATCTGGGGGTATAGCAACCTCTCTGCTTTGTCTGAATATACAAAAGAATACTAGGCTCATTACATCAACAATTCCACTCACACCATTGTAGTGTGATTACTGCGCAGCTCCTGTCCTTATCTATGGGACTACGCCGCCCTACACCTCGGTGTCCCTACTCATACGCTGAGAGGATGGATCCTGTCTGCGTCCGAGCCAGGACACCCGCACCCGTACGGACCTGCACTTGAGGTGAGCGTAGGGCGACGTATAAATAATACATCCAGTAATCTTATTTCAAAACAAACTGGCCCCCAGTCTGTACTTGGAAGGTACAGCTTCCATTATAACCTCACTTGTAAGTTCTGATTCGTTTTCGCTTCTAAATAAAAATAATATGATGTGGTGTGCAGGGAATTAAGTTAAACAGTCAGTATCATCTAAGATATTCATGTAGAGTGTGAAATATGTATGTTTGGAATGCACACTTAATTGGAAGAGGCGTAATGACAAACAATATCATGTTTGGGATTTCAGTGTCTAATTGCTTAGCATTCCCCCCTTGCAGCGCTAGGATACTGGGCTTGAGTTTCCCCATGTACACTATCCACGTGTGTTTTTATGTACTCTGTATAGTGGGAGGTTATTTGAACTGCAAGCTCCTTTTGTAGGACAGGGCCTGATAGGAAGGATTCATCATTCCACCTAAAGATATGTGGAAACTCAGCATATACTACAAGTCAGTAACAACAAAAAATGACCAATCTGCTACATTCTCATATCCCAGTGTGAACGAATTTCTCTTTACAGAGATAATCATTAAAATGATGGTTCTTATAGGGCACCTATGTCCTTTATATTAGGGCTTAATTCCAGTCTTCAGTCTTGTACAGTTGCACAAGCTCATCTCCTGTATTTAAATTGCTCTGATTCTCAGAGTGTATTAGAAGCTGCGTCAAGTCAGATAGACATCCAGTATCATCTAGCTCTTTTCTCACCAGCTTTACTGTCCCTGGCCAGTCTCTTTTAGGGCTTGTTCACACCATGTCTGGATCATGTCCAGACCAGAACAGTTTGTTCCCGGACCAAAAAAGCATCCCTATGGTATTTCTGGCCTCTGTTCACACCAGCGCAGTGCTTTCCGGTCCAAAAAAAAAAATACTGCTCGTTTTATTTTCTGTGGTCCAGAACGCACTGGAACGCTTGTAAAAGCATCAAAAACTCATGCAAACACACTGGACTGCACCTGAAAGCCCATTTTAAGATGAAAAAAAGATGCCCCGGAACACAGCAAAAACGAACTGCACTGCGTCAGCAGATCTGCTCTGGTCATTGTGTGAACATAGCCTCGTTCATTGGATTTCAGTTCTCTCAATCACAGAGGCTCAGCATCACAGGTAGTTTGCATGCAAATACAATCTGCCTAATAACATCCACTCCTCCAGACTGACACTCACCCATCAAGGCATTTTGATATTTGCATACCTTCTTCCAATAGCCAGCCTACTACTTGCATCTGGGCTGAGTACTGAGGCAGGGTGCTGTAATGTTGTTAGGAGGCTATGTACAGCACCCTGCTGATCTGTCCCACCAGCAATTATCTACCTTCATTGCAGGGAGAAGATCGGAGACCCAGTGATGACATTACTGGGTCTAACATAAGGTGTGTAATGAGAACAGAAAGGTTTTATTTAACAATTTTATTAACATCTGGAGAAACCAGTAATAGATGGAACTTCCTATTTGTACATAGGGATAGTTCATTCGCATATGTTTTATGTGTTTACATGAACCCTCAGCGAGTGATGAATTTCATTTATGTGGCATTGCATGAAGTCATTTTTAGTAACAGTACTTTTCCCAGAATTTGTATAGTGTTTACAAAAGCCAGAATCTCCGCTTGCTGACATTTCATTTCCCTCATACATTTACTATAGCATTAGGTTGAAATTGTATTTTTCTATTTTGATCTCAGGCAGGAGGCTACAGAAGTGCAGATCCTTCAGCCTTGGGTTGTGATGAATTTGGTTGTAACTCTGCTAGTTGGACTTGCCTGGTTATTTCTGTCCTGCCGGCCAGACCTGGATCACAGTGAAGGTAATGTGTTTTTGTCTTTCCATGACAGTGAATTGTCATTTTTATTGTAAATTATTAGCCATTTAGAAAATGTACATTTTACAGCAGAACTCCAGTAAGAGTCCGCCATCGCATTTTGTAATAATTGTAAGCCAGGGCTGTCCATTTGGTGGCACATGGCTCCCAGTTACAGGCTATGCGGAGTGGAAGCAGATTGTTAAAGGAGAACTATGGGGGCTATTAGCGCTTTTTCCCATAGTTCTTGTAAGGGTAACGGGAGGACACAAACTAGCGTCCTCCCGTCACCCAAAGCTCAGTATAGCTCGCGGTATACTGAGACGCCGCAGACGGGATGGGTCCTGACATTACTGTCTGGATCCGCCCAGCTGCGTGAGTGACAGCTGGCTCTGCCTATCTAGAGGCAGAGCCAGCTGTACCCGCCCCTCCCCCGTCCACGCTGGAGGATCAGACAGGGGAGGGGGGAATCCCTGTAGGGAGCCGTAAGTGACAGTCACGGCTCTCTGCAGGGACAGGATCAAGAAGTGAGTGAGCGATGGTATGTGTTCGCTCACTTCCCAATCTACTGAGCCGACCTGTGACAGTCTCATTGTCACAGGTCGGCTAGAACTATGAGGTGAGTGATTTTCACACGCCTCATAGTTCTCCTTTTAAGTGCTGGAACACTTTCATTATTCCAACACTCAAATGACATCAGCGCTACCTGTCACGCAGAGTTATCTGATGTCTGATAAGCATAATGTAGTTGTAACCTGACGAAGGAAGCAGCATGTTGCATGTGTTCAGGTAAACTGCTACTCAGCACCAATAAAGAGAGGGGAGTTGATCTTACCGTTGACACCAAGGGGGAATTTTATTTCTGCCACTGACACCAATGAAGGGTGGATTTATTATTGCTGATACCACCGCTGACACCAGTGAAGGGGGAATTATTTTTGCTGTCACTAATGAAAGGGAGGCGGGTCATTATTGCTGCCCCTGGCACATATGCTGAAGGATATATTTGCTGCCATTGACACTAATAAAGAGGGTTTATTATTGCTGCCTCTGCTCTGAGGCGAATGCTACTTGCCAGAAACCCTTGTGCATCCGTGCAAGGATTTCTGGAAAATGGCATTTAGCTTGGAGCAAAGGTAGCAATAATGGCGTAAGGAGGGATGCAACAGTTGTATGCAGCTTTTTCAGCCCAAAGGCCATTGTTACGGAGACAGAAATTGAGGAGAAATCCAAATTTAAGAGCTCAAATACCGAGGTCCACAATGTTTCATTGCTTTGCCTGATGAAGAGACCGCATTGATAAAGAGGACCTCGGTGCGCTGGTGACCTCATTACTTCTTTGTGTTTAATACAGTACCATCTGTTGGCCATTTTAGCAACCACCAAAGCTACATCAGGGGTGTGGAAATGTAAAAAAAAAAAACTAGAGACACAGATGGTGTCTGGACCAGATTTGTGCGGGTAATTCCATCTTTCCAAATTACTTGGGAAAGTGAATTTACCGTTTGGGGCGGGTGCAGACTTGGGCGGGGCCGTGGATGGTTGCCTCGCGGCCTCATTGATTTCAATGGGGTTACATCCACGGGGTAATCTCTGAATGTTTTCAATCGCGATTATGTGCGATTGCACACGTGTTATTGCGGCGGGAAACTGCGCAATCTGCCTTGTGCGACTGGGGTGCCATTAGACAATAATGGCACTGCCAGCGTGATCGGAGGTGGTGTGCGATTCTGTGACCGCCCAGCCATCCACACGGTTTTGTGCACAAGTGCCGTGTGGTAACGGATCGCCTACTCCGCTCACACACACAATACATTTACAATGCATTTATTCGCTTGCAGATGATAGGGATTGGTTTTAAGTTTTTAGATTTTTATTTTACTTTTTTTTTTGCTTTTGTAATATTTTTTTAATCATTATTTATTTTTATTGTTTACTTTATCGCTTTTTTTTTCTATTTTTATGTATTTAAATTTTTATTATTTTTTCCAATTTTATGTTTACATTTTTAAGTGTTATATATTTTTTACTTTTTGTTTTTCACTTGACTTTATTGCTATCACACAAGGGTAACAATCACTTGTGCGATAGCTTTTGGAGGTGACCGGTTCTCTTTATTGACCCTGTCACCTCCAACACAGGAGTTCTAGCACAGCTCTGTGCTATTTCTCCTGTGACAGGAAGGCTGCATTCCTGTGTCACTGCACACATGGAGCAGAGTAGAGAACCGTTCTCTGCCCCGCTCCGTGCTCTGGAACCTAATTTTCCGTGGTCATGAATCCCCCACAAGAGGGGGGGACCCCGAAGACTACGGCAAAAAGGAAGCCCAGGTGCAGAGAGACAGGCAGCCAATGGCAGTACACGGCCGGCTGCAGGAGATAGAGAGAGGGGAGGAGGAGAGGTCAGGGGAGCGAGTATCGTGATTCAGGCAGGTTACGAGTGATTTTTGGACGGCTGTACAGCCGTTTAAAATCATTTGTACAAAACGGCTCCCACACTACATTTAGCCGTGCTGCTTGCCCACAGCCGGACTAAATGTAGAAAAACACTACTCGCCCGGCGCCCGAAACTGCCTGTCCCGGGTGTCAGGCGATAGGAATTCCACACCCCTGTACATACTGCGTCTATACTATGTCGGTTTGAAGTCGATGGGATACCCCCTAATGCAAATTTTAGAGCTCGCAGCTGGACAAGAGGGGAGGACAAGATTGCCAGTGGGGACAAATGTTTTGGTAGCAACCACCTATGACGGGATTTCTCCTCACTTTGTAGAAATTACCTCTCAGTTCCTGATGCATCTTCAGGGCAGGAAATAAAATCTCCCCAAGGGGACACAGAAATAAAAAATAACCTGATAAAACATTTTTTTTTTTTTGCTATTACACCGATTAACAGAAATAGATGTTTCCATGCCAAAGTAAAAATAGATCTTTGCAAAGTGATTTATATAAATTCCAATAAAACGACACAAAATAACTTGTTGCATAAGTATGCAGCTTCTTTTTATGAAACACCTAAATTATCACAAGTGTAGCCAATTGTTTCCCAAAGTCGCACAGTTTGTTACATTTGTGTGTAGTGAAGAGGCTTCAAGCGATTGTAGTATAAATAGAAGTGCATCTGGTGAATCAATATCATGATATAACCTACACCATCAAGACCAATAAACACTACAAGCAAATCCATGAAAGAGTGACTGAAAAGCACAAGTCAGGCAATGTCTCCAAGAAACGTTATTAGCTATCCTTTGGAGCACAGTTAACCACTTCAAGACCAGGTGTTTAGACCCCCTTCCTGGCCAGGCCATTTTTCAGTGTTCAGCGCTGCAATACTTTGACTGACATTTATTCCGTCATGCAACGCTGTACTGAAATGAATTTTATACCATTTTTTGGGGACAGATAGAGCTTTCTTTAGGTGGTATTTAATCACCACTGGGGAGTTTTTATTTTTTACTATATTGAGGAAAAATTATAAATCTTGCACCGGGCACAGCGGAGCCCGGGACCAGCTTGACAGCGGGAGGGGCGCACATCACCGGACCTCATACAAGCGATCTGCCGGCTCTATAGCCGGCGGATCGCTTGTATATTAACGGGCATCGCTGCCCGTTTTGAAATAGCTGGCATTTCCCGCTCGCCCAGCAGCGAGGGGGCGTGGCTGAGCGGACCGCCCAGATCTAGATAGCTCCTGGCCGGCCGGGAAGTGGTTAAATTATTTTTTTTCATTAAGAAATGGAACGGTTATGGTTTAAATCTGCCAACATCAGGCCGTCCGGCAAAAGTAAGTGCAGCAAGAAAGAGACTAGTAAGGGGGAGCCCACCAACAGAGTTACAAGCCTCTGTGTCTCAGATTGTAGACACTAGGCATACAATAACTGCTACCTTAGTGCTTTACCAGTTGCAGTTTTATAGGAGAATGGCAAAAAGATAGCCAATGCTAATTAGAACACATGTGACATCTCACCTACAGTTTACCGGAAGGCTTGTAAGGATAGAATAAATGCAGTAAAATACAGTGAAATTCCAGAGTAGAACCTGATTCAGTCTGAGCATCGGGAGAAGAATCGTTTTCAAGCAAGACATTGACCCCAGGCATAGGAGCAAAAAAAATTACACAAGAATGGCTTAAAAACAATATTAAAGTTTATGTAAAGTAGGACTGCAGCTAACGATTATTTTCATAATCGATTAGTTAGCCGATTATTAAGTTCGATGAATCGGTTAATCGGATTTAAAAAAATGGCTCCAGTGATGGACTACTAGTTTGTACTGAGATTGTAGTCCATCACAGGAGCAAGCTTGGAGCGGTGGAAAGAAGAAAAAAAAAGTGTGGTGTGCAATATAGTGCAGCGGCGCAATGCAGAATACCAGCAGCTATAGAGGAATACAGCAAATCGCAGCAATAGTACATTATATTATAATGTTCTATTGCTGGGATTTGTAGTCCTCTGTAGCAGGTGTTCTGCATTGCGCTGTATAATGCACTATTGCTGGGCTTTGTAGTCCTCTATAGCCGGTGGTATTCTGCAGTGTGCTGTATAAGTATTATACGGCGCAATGCAGAATACCAGCAGCAGGGGGGGAGGGGAGAAGAATGCAGGCTTACCCGAGCAGCTTGTGGCCTGTCTGGCAGCTGCCTTCCCCCATATGCCTGCTCTTCCTTCATTGTGCCGATCGTGAATGGGCAGGCCGCGGGGAGATGCGACTTGCAGGGAGGAGAAGCGGCAAGTCCGTATGGCGGGGAGGGCCCAGTCACACCAAGAGTGAGGGAGCTCACTGCGAGGAGAGGAGCAGCGGCTTCAGCAGCATGCGTAGCTTCTGCGTCATGTCCGGCAGGTGTCACACGCCACGCCCGCCGGACACGACGGGTCATTTGTGGAGCCCCAAACAGGCTAACCTATCGACAGCCGACTAATCGATGATGGAAAACGTTGACAACGTTTTCCATCGTCCATTTTAATCGACGTAATCGATTAACTGTTGCAGCTCTAATGTAAAGCCAAAACATTTTTTTATGTTGGGGGGTTTTACGTCATTTTCAGGCCTAAAATGTGGAATATAACATGGGTGCAAAAAATGAAAAAAGGGCCTCAGTCATGAAGGGGTTAAAATCAGTGTTCAGAGATCTGTTTTTACTGTTGTAATAAAAAAAAGTGTATTGCTGTTGATAAAATGTCAAAAACTAAATGATATCCACCGTGATTCATTGTACCAAGGTAATAAAGCTGGAAAACCTCCGGGGGGGGTTATATTTATAGGTACTGTATAACTGCGACACAAACAAACAAGCACATTATTATTGTTAAAAATGCCCTTTTTTTTTTAGTCAGCACCCAGCTTTGCATATCTAAATGTATACAGTACACTCCCAGACAGCTCATTTCCTGCTGGTAGATCACTACTAGTCCCAGACATCTGCACAGATCTAGAGGTTAAGGGCCCATTAAGTTCTATGTGTCGCAGCATTGCATGTTCCACGGTACAGTGGCAATCATTGTGAGAGGGGCCCCAACATAGCTCCATTGCAGCACACCACAGCACACTACAATGTGTTCTGCATTGGAAAAAAAACAATGCAGATCCAATGTGGTGCATTGGCAGCCCCTTCAGATGAATGGAATGCCCTAAAGCACAACTCAATGCCGTGTTGCAAGGTGTTGTAAAAAATAAGAAGCAGACAACCATCGGAAATGGACTAACGTGATCTGTGATGTATAACATTTATATATTTATTTTTTTTAGAATCTATATTTCTACCAGAAGAGGAAGATTACCCAGACATAGAAAAAGGATTAAATATTCAAGCTTGAACAATATTTCTCAACTACACAGATGCCTTTCGTATTTTATATACGTCTTTGTACATAGCTTGGTATTATTTTTATACACTTGCAAAATTATTTATTTTTGAGAATTGTACATTGATTTAATGATGTTTTTTATCAATGACTGAACATGCAGTAAAGTATTTACATTATTTTTATTATATCATTAAGCTGGTGAGATTTTGTTACTTGCATCTAAGCACACCTAAAGCCAAATCTTTCTCCTAATTTCGGATAGAGAGTGGAAGGTTTAGAAGCTCTGCTAGTTTATAATGGTTGTCTTTGTCCTCATATGATGCAGCTGCACTCTCACTTCCTACCCTGTTCATAACAGTCATTAGAAAATCCAGTATAGTTTCACAGTTATCACCGGAAGAAGAGGTGAGTAGAAGTCCTTGGATGGGACTCTCTCCTTATTTTGGAAATATTCCCTCTCCAGGACAAGAAGTTAAAGTGACATTAAACCCTCAGATTTTTTAACATAAAACAATACTGTAATGTGCGCCTTACTGTAATCCATGGTTGTTTCCCTTCTCTTTGCTGCTCTTCCTTTTAAATCTGTATCTGTTCTCATGCTGGGCAGAACTTCTGTTTTGCAGCAGACTGCCTTGTCTCAGGAATGGATACATGGTGTCTGTGTATACGTTTCTATAGGCTTGTAATCTGAGCCAGCACTAGAGGAAGAGGCACTCAGCTGCAAAGGGAAGTTCTGCAGAGCATGAGAAGACATGAGGATTTAAAAAGGAAGAGCAGCAAAGAGAAGGGAAACAACCATGGATTACAGTAAGGTACACATTACAGTATTGGTTTATGTTAAAAAATCTGAGGGTTTAATGTCATTAAGGAAAATCTCCCTAATGGGACAAAGACAGCAACAAAACTTTTGACAAAAATGTATCCATTACCTGCTTTACCCACAAAAAAAAAAAGCTTTGGCTTGGATATACTTTAAAGCCTTGGTTCTCAACTGGTGGGTCATGACCCAAAAGTGGGTCACCACATGCCTTCCACTTTTCTAGGTGAGAGGCTCCTCAGCCTCCCCTAGTGCAGCATTGTCCATTCCCACACCGAGCAGCCAGTCAAAATATGCTGCCTGGAGTCGAGTGTCAGCTTGAGGTGGGCTGGGCTGGACTGGGGTATGGCAGCGTGGGAGCTCCATCCATACATGCCTTGGTTACAGCTCACTCACATGTCCTGTAGAGGTGTCTGGAATGGAGTGACGTCACATTCTGGCTCCTGGCACCTCTACAGGCGCGCATGGGAGCTGTATAAGCAATGCACATTTGGATGGAGCTCCATCACAGCACAGCAGCCCGCACTGCCGTTCGTTCCATTACACTTGGGACGCGACTTAATGGCCGAGGACAAATGTGGGTCCTAAGGTTACACAGGTTGAGAACCACTGCTTTAAGGTGGCCTAAAAAATGCTTTAAAATATAGACCCCCTTGTAGTGCCTGCAAGTATCCTGTCCCTGTGTAGACCCTTGGATCCTAGGCCCAGGTTGTGGACCAGGCCTTGACTTCTCTTCGAGGCAAGATGAAGCCCTACCCACGTCATTAAAATGTCATATGTATGTTGTAGTGAAATATGGTCTTTTTATTATTGCACTGGTGCAATCTACCTTAATGTTTCACTTGCACAAAGCTGAAAATGTTATATATACACACACACACACTTTTTTCGTATATAAAAAGGTAAAAGACCAAACAATTTAGAGATTAT